CATTCTTACTTTACAGCATTTCTCCACACCTGCCTAAAACTTTTGCACAGTACTGTATATCTGTTCCTGCTTAAGAAAAATAGTAAAATCCCAGCTGAGATTAAATTTATGATCTGGTCTAGAATGATCCAGGAGGAGAAAGAATCAACTGAACTGCGGGCTGAACAATTAGAGAGCCGTGTCACCAGTGGTAGCATGGAAGCCCTAAATCTGACACAGTTACGCAAGAGAGCATCCATTCCCACATCTTTAACTGCCCTGTCCCTGGCAAGTTCATCTCCTCCTGTCAGTGGACGTTCTACTCCAAAACTCACCTCTCGCAGCACAGCTCAGGACCTTGATCGAATATGCAGCATGACCCTGGTAAGCATGGAAAGAAAAGGAGAAAAAATGTGTTTGGTTGGGAAGGAAGTGGGGTTTTTGATGATACGTTGTGCTCCCTACAATGCTGTCATTGTGTCTTATAAGGGCCTGTTGTATTGCCCAGCTACTAAAGCCTTTGGCATTTCTAGTTTATTTAGTATATAAAGCTCTTTAGTCTAATAATACAATGCCACACTGACCTTTTTTTCTCTTGACAAGTCCTCCTCCACCATGGCTGCTGCTCATAGTTTCTTTAGCCCTCCCTAGTCCCAGTTGTACTGAACAGTTTGCCACCTGCTTCCTAGAGTCATTTTGAGCTAACTTCCACTGTTTTTATATCAATCTTTTGACAGCCAAGTGATTTGAGGAAACATCGGAGAAAGCTACTTGTGAGTCTGTCCATTTCTTTGCTCTTATTTGTGGATTTATATTCTTGCACCTCTTCTGTAACTTATCTGCTTTTCTATTTCCCTGCTAACTCTATTATGTGTGTTGAGCAGTTGTCCTGCACTGGTGTAATGGAACTACATTACATGGAATGTAGTTGAGCTACATGGACAGAATGGAATGTATTCTGTCATCTTAAACATTGGGTAGTCTAAGTTATAACATAGCAATTGTATCTTCTGAACAATAAAATTGTACTGAAAATATTTTAAAGAATAAAGCAATGTTTATTCTGGCTATTATCTGAAAGTGGATCATTCTCAAATGCAGGTAAAATATTACCATATAGCTCTATGTGTTGTTTTGTTTGTCCTACATATAAGTATTGATGTTCTACCATAAATATAGAGCGATTAGTTATTGCAGATGATCAAGGAACTTTTTCCAAAATAAGTTTTGTTGCAGAGAGATTATGCATCCTCTGCTTCAAGCCATTCAAATCAAAATAGATTGCTGCTGAGAGGTTATAAGTAGTAGTTACTGTATGTGTGTGTATGTATGTATGCTTGTATGTATGTATGTGTATATATCTATATCTATAAGTCTATATATATCTATATTAGTTTCATATAAATAGTACCTATGACATTATATATAGCATCCACTTCCCTGTGCTAATTTGTGAACTGTTAAAATGGTTTACGATATCACACTTTTCCCAAGTCTGCATCTTCTGTCAGATGAATAGAAACTTTTCTCAGTGTCTTCCTGTATGTTTCTAGTAAAGTCATCTTGAGTACCTGCTAGGGTAGAAAGGCAGGGTATATATTAAATAAATTATTAGGGAAACTTTGAAATCCAAAGTCCCAAATACAGTAATTCAAGGTAAACCTAACTAAGTAATATAGTAGGAAGTGTACTGTAAAAAGTAAACTAGACTGGAAGGTTTAAAACAAATATCTTTAGATATTAGAAACGTATCTAGTATCTTTAGATACTAGAAAAGATTTAAAGGATAAGATCTGCAAGGCAATAAACAGCACAGCAAGGACAAGAAAAAGCACAGAGTGCTGATTTCCCATATCTGTGCCACATCCCATAACCTACAATAGGCTAGAGAATATTCAGGTCTTGAGTTGTATACAGAGAATATCTTTTGTGAGAGGTGGAGTTCTTGCAAACTGATAAGTGTCTCTTCATTGCATTTCTGCATACTTAAATTGGGACTTGGGGTTTGATGTTTAAATCCAGATCTCCCTTTAAGACAATGCTGCTCCTGCCATACTCCTACTATTCCTTGCATGCTTCCACCTGCTTCTCCATTTTATACATCTTTGTCTTCAGCCAGAATGCTTGTTGATTCTATGCTCAGAGTAAATCAGTTTGGAACCAATTCCTGTTTCAGAAGTAGTGTTTTCTCTGTCAAGTGTCTATAACTTATTTCTCCTATTGAAAGTTCTTTGTTCCTGGATGCTTAGATAACTTTACTTGCAGTGTCAAATTCTGTTCATTTTAAGAATGATTTGTGTTATAGGATATGCTGAATCAGTTTCTTGCTGATTTCCCAGTGATAGTGTGGAAATTTCTATGAGTGAGAATTGTAAAATATTTTTATGAGGTAGTAACAGTGGCTTTGTTGAAGACCAAGTTCTGGGAAAACAGTGTAGTATATTGGTACACCTTCTACTTTTTTTTTTTTTGGTCACTTTTCTATTATTTTTACTTATGCAAGCAGTGTTCTTTAAGCTGTCCTTCAGATGGTTTTGAATGGGCAGCTTCTGCAGGGTACTTCTCCCAATCCTGCTGATGGGGTCCCAGGTCTTTGGCTTAGGTAGGAAATTGCCAGCTCCCATCCCTCGAAATGCATTAGAGATTGCTATTTCAAGAATGATCCTTTTGCCCATAGAATACTTTGTATCTGATATAATCAGGTGTGAGTTGCTGTTTAAATGATTCCAAGTCAGAGGCTCCTGTCCTGATTGCTACACATTACGATTCCAGATTGTTGATGTGTCACAATCTGTCTCCTTCTTCCTGCTGTTGTGGGTTCTATTGCCTCATATTATGACGATATCACTCCAAATGGTACTTATAATTATTACTTGATCATCTAGCCCTTTGGCTCAGCATGCAGTAAGCAGTAGCCCCCATGATATACTTGATGCATTGATTCTGTTCTGCCTTCTCCTTTAATTAACTAACACGTTTCTGATAAGTGTGCTGGAGATTGGAGGGAAGTTTTTAGACAGGAATCTCCAGTCTGACTTTACCTTATCTGTTCAGACACCAGCTGGTCGAGATGAGAGTCGAGAAGATAAAACCACTATCAAATGTGAGACTTCTCCTCCTTCTTCACCCAGGAGCCTGAGGCTGGAGAAACTTGGACATCCTGCTTTTAGTCAAGAGGAAGGCAAGAGGTACATATGCCTGGGGAGGGAAGAGATGCATTCTGTCAGTTATAGGTTGTCAGATATACTCAACTATACTAGGTGAAAAGGCAGATTACATATTTTACAAAAACATCTCTAAAAGCTTCTTGAATAATGTAACTAATACTAATTGTTCCTCCTGTGTTGAGGACTGGGAGAAGAATAATAACTAATGTGCTTTGTGGACTGCAAGATTGATGGTACATCACTGGAACATTAGTACTAACCAGTGATATATGGAAATGTCCCCATAAAATAGACTGAAGCTGAGTAGATAGGCAAATGCTAATTTTCTTTTCATAATTATTCTTTGCCTCTTGGCTGTAATCTTGATTGCCACACATGAAGACAGTTTAAGATATAGATATTGGATCATCTACTGGCTGCTGATGAAACAAAAGGTGCAAGTAATAGTATTCTTATGCAATTATTAAGAAGAAAGAGGTATTAGGTATTAAGAAGAAAGGGGTATCAACAGCTGCTGATTTCCGAAATTTAGTCTTTTCACTTCCCTTTGCTTTGCTTCAGTTTGTTTTCTAATCATGCTTTTCCCTGCCACAGTGGTAAGTAGTTGAGGTGAGGAAGATGGATAGAAAATCTGTTCATAAAAATCTTATTATATAACATTCTGTGGGTGATCAGTCTGTAACAGAAAATCTTGGGGTTCCTTTCTGGGTTTAAATTATTCTAACTATATTCTTTGCATCTGAAAGAATTATGGAGCTGTTAATCTTCCACAGAACAAATTTCAAATGTATGTCTCAGTTGGGTTTTCTCTAGATGTTTTGCACAATATTGATGCTAGCTGCTGCCCTCCCTCACAAACAGAGGTTAGCTGGATATGGTATTCTGAGAAAAACAAGAGTCTTTTGAAAATAGAGAGAGAGAGAGAGAGAGAGGGAAATGAGACTGATCCCAAGAGGAGAATGGACCTTAACTTCACTATAATGAGATCATGAACTTTTCCTTCACATCCTTTAGTTCTCTGGAGGATCAAGCAAGTAACCCCAGCAGCAGTAATAGCAGCCAGGATTCACTGCATAAAGGCTCCAAGAGGAAAGGCATCAAATCTTCTATTGGGCGCTTGTTTGGAAAGAAAGAAAAGGGGCGCTTAATCCAACTGAGCAGAGAAGGCACTACTGGGCAAGGTAATTGATTCTGTTCACCTTTTCTAAGTGAAGAAATCCCACAAATTTCTTGGGCAGTTGACCATTTAGCACATAGGGCTGTCTTTCTATGTAATTGGAAGAGCAGAAAATAATATGATGGGAACAATAAAAACAGCACTCACAATGCCAGTTAAATCTCAGTTTCCCTCAGTTTTACATATACCTGGATTATCTTTCCATTTGATTCAGTTGTTGAACATTTAATAAAATATAATAGCTGTAGAAGTGCATCAAAGGCATTAAAAAGAAATAATACAGAGTTGCAAAATGTATGTTGATTATATTCCACTAAAATCAATAAATGTTAGCTATTGGCCTATCAATATGATTGCAATAATGGTGTTTTCTAAAGAGGATTTTGAACTGTGAATTGTCAGAAGCAGTGGACGAAGTTAATGGCTTGATCACATAGAACTCTTGGATGCATAGGGAGCAGCAGAGCTGGAAGGTACAATAGCAGAAGCAAGGGAATTTGCCAAAGGATGCACTTGCTTCATTCAACCTTTTTATCAGGATGGAAGAGGCCATTTACATCAATGAGTCCAATCCCTTGCTCAGTGCAGGAATCCAAATTAAAGCATCCCCAAATAGTTACCTAGTCTCTGTCTGACCTTCTGAACTGAACAAATGCCTAACACCCTTCTGGATAATTGATTCCATTGCTGACTTCTAGACTGAAGTGTCAGAAATGCAAAAAATTGGTCACCTTTTTTTAACATACAGTATTAGAAGGTGAGCACTAAGCTTATCTTATTTATAATTTATATATAAATTATATATATATATCTAAATTATATATCTAAATTATATATATATATCTAAATTATTATAATCTCGTATTTATAATTATAATCTATCTGCTGTACCGTACATCC